GAGCTAAAAATAGAACATAGGGTAAAATGCAGTTTATGGCTATTATCTCTGAAACTAAAGCATTTAGAGCAAATCTGTCAACTGGTTAAAGTGTTCATCAAGTGAAGTTCTATCTGCCCTGATATTTTCAAACGAATCAGACAACCGGTTGTTGGGTTGCTGCCCCTGAATTCGTTTTTTTAATGAAATTTTTTAGTTTTTTGGAAATTATCTTAAATATTATTATAGATAGAGATAAACTGTAAACAGCAATAATGTTCAGCAAAGATATATCTACAAATAAGTTAACATGACCAAAATTGTCAATTGACCCCTTAAGGAGTTATTGCACTTTATTGTCCATTTGTAACAATTTTTATGCCCCAGCCGTAGCGGAGGGGGCATTAAGTTTTACCCTTGTCCGTCCGTACATCCCAAAATTGGTTTCCATTCTCTAACTTTAGTTTGCCTCAACCAAATATTATGAAACTTATACACAATGCTTATAACCACAAAACACAGATCAAGTTTGAATTTTGGTGGCGTCACTTTTACCGTTCTAGAGTTATGCCCCTTTACAAATGGAAAAATTGCTGAAATATTAGTTTCTGTTCTCTAACTTTAGTTTGCCTCAACCAAACGTTATGAAACTTATGCACAATGCTAATTAGCACAAAACACAGATCAAGTTCGAATTTTGGTGGCATCACTTTTACTGCTCTAGAGTTATGCCCCTTTACAAATGGAAAAATTACTTAAGTTTGCCTCAACTAAATGTTATAAAACTTATAAACAATGCTTATTACCCTAAAACTCAGATCAAGTACAAATTTGGGTAGCGTCACTTTTACAGTTCTTGAGTTATGCCTTTATAACGTTATATGCAAGCAGGGGCATCATCTGTGTTCCATGGACACATTCCCCATTTATTTTCTGTTATGTCTTATATGATTTAAATTATAATAGATAAATAGACACTTTAAATCACAAAAATGATCAGCAAGGCAAGATCTATTAAAAAGTCAAATTTTGCCGATATAGTAAGTAGACTGTCACACTTCATAGGAGTGATTACCCTTAGATGAGGATTTTTTTTTATCCTCTTTTGTGTTTTGAGCAAAAACTAAAGAAGATATACATGTGTATAAGAGAAAAACTAAACAGACTGAAAGATCAGTAATACAAGATCAACAAAATAGAGATTTTTGTCATGAAGTCTATTCTCGTCTACAATGTTGGAGAATGTCCTTTGTATGGTATACACACATGCTCTTTAGAGCCTCTAGTTTTTCTTCTGAAAATCTGAAATACTGGTATAGGGTTGGTGGATCCATAAACCAACAAATTAAAAAACCCTTGCCTAATCAACTCCTACAGTTTTACAACCTAGATCCATGAAATTTTTCACAGGAAGATTGTACATATGTTAAAGTTATGCACCTCCTATTAGGGAAATGTTTGAGGAATTTTTCCCATTTTTCAAGATTTGGGAACCTAATCATTATGTTTTTATACCTTAAAAATTTGAAAATCCTACCTACCTAGCCATTTTTGTCGAGCCTGCGACTTCTGTTGCAAAAAGCTCGACATAGGGATAGTGATCCAGCGGTGGCGTTTACTAACTACTTAAAAGCTTTATATTTTAGAAGGTGGAAGACCTGGATGCTATGAAGTGTCTGTCTGTCATATGTCCATTGTCATTTACCTCATTTTCATGGTTCAGTGACTACTTGAAAAAAAAGTTGAAGATTTTTTGTAATGTAAATTTCTCTCTTATTATGAGTAATAGGATAAATATATTTAGTATGTGCATACCTTGCAAGGTCCTCATGCCTGTCAGACAGTTTTCATCTGACCTCGACCTCTTTTCATGGATCAGGGAACAAGGTTACGTTTTCGTGGCCAAGTCCATATATCAGATACAATAAGCAATAGGTCTACTATATTTGGTGTATGGAATAATTGTAAGGTGTACATGTCCAATTGGCAGGTGTCATCTGACCTTGACCTCATTCTCGTGGTTCAGTGGTTAAAGTTAAGTTTTTGTGTTTTGGTCTGTTTTTCTAATACTGTATGCAATAGGTCAACTAGTATATTTGGTGAATGAAAAGATTTTACGATGTACATGTCAGTCTGGCATGTTTAATTTGACCTTGATCTCATTTTTGCTCAATGTTAACTTTTTGTTTTTTTATCTGTTTTTCTAATACCATGAGCAATAGGTCAACTATATTTGGTGTATAGAATGATTGTAAGGTGTATATGTCTGTCTGGCAATTATCATCTGACCATGACCTCATTTTTATGGTTCATTTGTCAATCTTAAGTTTTCCTGGTTTAGTTTGTTTCTTAGATATTATATGCAATAGGTCAACTATATTTAAAGCATGTAATGATTGTAAGGTGTACATGTCTGTCTGGCAGGGTTCATCTGACATTGACCTCATTTTCATGGTTCATAGATCAGTTAAATTTTCCTGGTTAAGTTTGTTTCTTAGATATGCAATTTGTCAACTATATTTAAAGCATGTTTGGTGTATGGAATGATTGTAAGGTGTACATGTATTTTCCAGTTTGGTTTATCTGACCTTGACCTCATTTTCTTGGATCATGTTAAGTTTATGTTATTGTTGTAGTAAAGCTTTATATTTAGGACTATCAACATAAAATCAATGGTTAGAAAGAAGGCGAGACATTTCAGCGTATGCACTCTTGTTATACAATCATTGAGAACTGACTTTACCAGGCCTAAAAGATGATATCAATATATTTTTTCTTTTTTCAGTACTATGGTATGACAGAGATGAACTACTACACAGTCATGTTTGGAGTTTCCCGTGCACTGGGATGCATGTCTTCACTTATTTGGGATCGTGCAATGGGACTACCTATTGAAAGACCAAAATCTTTTGACACACCATCATACAGAAAATTAGCAGAAAGTGCAAAATGAGTTGTTAGAAATAATTTATATTAACTTGCATATATTAAGTTTCCTTATTGTAACTATTAAAGCATCAAGTTGCAATTCAGGTCAGACACTGTTAGTTACTGGTATTTATTTTTAGTTCATTAATTCTTAAGTGTAAACTTACTATGTTTACTATTTTTTATAAATGACTATGTGATATTGTCTTTAGATCAAATGATTCATATTTTTCAGCAGTACTAATTTTAATATATATGGAACAATTTCAGCATACTTTGCAAGTGGATACTGCAGGAAAGTTCATCCATAGAATGTAATTCAACTCCCCTTGAATTTGGATTCACTTGAAATGAGTAATGGGTGGTTGCATGCAAGATTAGTTTGAGAAAAAATAATTGTATTTATTGATCAAAAAGCTAATTTACATGATTTAAATTTAGAAAATCATTTGATATTTGTATATCAACATGTTAAAAAAATAGAGCAATACTCCTTATGTTGTAAATCTTGGCAAACTGGAAATGAGTTATATTCCCTGAATATGAATAGGAATGTCATAGAATTCCCCCATTGGTCTTTATACATCAGAATATGTAAACACTTATCATTAAAAAATAATCACTGAAACAATGAAAGGATAGGTTTTTAATCACTGAAACAATGCAAGGATAGGAATAGTTTTCTTAACAATAATTTATTGTAGTAGTCTTTTCATGAATATTAAGTGCAAAGTGTGGTTTGAGTGTACAATTTGTTAAAATGGTATATTAAAATATCATTCATTTGTTGTATATTTATATTGAATGTTTACCAGAACTACCAACTATGAATTATAGAAAACCCATTTGTAAAAAAAATATGTAAAAATATATAAAAATATGCAGATATGAGTTAAATTTGTCATTTTTCATGGCCAGAATTACTGTTGATTCATTGATTTTCATGGACTGAGGAAAACTTGCATTTTAATGGATACTTGATTTCATGGTTTTTCCATTGTCTGCAATACAAGCCTATAGAACATTTGTAATTTGTCGAACATTTAAATTGGTGTTTCACCTGTACCCACAAAATCCATGAAAAATGGTATCCAACAAATAATAATGAATTAACAGTAATGTACTACTTATGCCAACTTATAGAGCAAGAGGCAAGTATATGTATACCCCTGCTTACTGAAGCAAAGGTATGTTGTGATTGTTTTGTCTGTACATCCCTCTGATTAAAAGGATTCTTTGGTTTTCCAAAGCAACACATGGTCTTTACCATATACACATCTCTGTATCCGATTCAAGAGATCATGGGTTTGTACCCTTGCCAGGTCAAACCGGACTTTGAAAATTGGTAATTTCTGCTTCTCTGGTTAACACACACTGATAGGATTATTAGCAATAGTATGGACTGGTCAGTTAAATATCCAAATGTGTCTGGGTTGTGTGACATGTCTTCCTGCAGACTGTTTCAGGTTAGGGGAGGGTTGAACACTTGCAAACATGTTTTACCCTGCCGCTGTTTAATGTGCCTGTCCCAATGCTACCAACCAAAATAACTCCTTTTCTTTAAACACCATTAAGAATAAATTTTAACTGAAGAACCTGGTGAATATATATCTATCTATACTTTTCACTATATATTGTTACAATAGCACTATATACCCTTGCTTGATACAAGAATGCATGTGTGTCATCATACTAGGCACACTCCTACTCGTTACTTAAAGTATCAATAGCAAGAAGTAGGTGTCTGATGGAGCTGAAAAGTCCTCATAATATAACTTATCACTGTCACACTGCTGACCAAATATAGTCATTCTGTTCAATAGTTCTTGAGAAAAGTGGGACAAATACTTGTTGGACAGACCAAAAAGGTGGATGCAATAATGTACAATAATCCCTGACAAAACTTGCTATTAATCACTGCTAAAGCACAACCCCTGGAATCAACACTAGTTGAAGGACTGTAACTATTCAACTGATTTAAGGTTCAAATCATCCAATAACTTCAGATTACAACATTGCTCTTTGTTTTGTTCAACATGGTATGTTAATGTTGAAAATGTGTTGTGAACTCTTAATTCATCTGCATTGATTATAAAAAAACAAATCTATTTCATAAAAACAAAAGACAGCAGATTACACATCCAGTTTTTACACAACATCAATCGATACAAGTTGTGGAATTACGTATGGGAAAAAGTTGTAAGGAAAAGTTTGTATTCAACTTTCACCTTCATCCCCTTCTATTTAGGACCAGTCTGAATCTTTTTCCATCACTTGAATTACTTTGCACTTCTATTGGTTTCTTTCCTTCCAAATCTTCTTCACATCAACACGTCAGGGTTAATTAATGTACATTTTTAACAAGGACTTCAAAATGTACTTGAGTTAATCATAGTTACAATTCAACCAAATTTTACTTTCATAGCTAAAAATGCATAAAACATGAAGTTAAGAATTTAATCAGGACTGACATAATACTTGAACCTCATCTGAGTTCAGCACAAAGTTTGCCTGTTATTATCTCTGCTATTGTAGACAGGCCATAAAACATGTAGAGAATAGTAAATTTAGGTAAATATTTATTATCTCGACGCAAGTCTTTGCTTAAATCTTTTTCTCATTGCAACAACAAATGATCTTAAGTTATTTGTCTGGTTTAATTTGTCAACAAGTTGATCTAAATCTGGCACTGATGGTTCACAATCTGAAACTATACAGAAAAAATAAATCAGTAGGTAATGCTATTTGTCAATTATATAAAAAAATATTAAATAGAAAGAAACAAAAACATAATTACACACAGGTACTGAATTCAGTATTTGTCCCCAACTAGACGCAGAATGGTGACATAAAAAGTAAGGGTTTACATGAATACATTTGTCTGCCTTGAAGTTAAACATGTTGAAAGCACTCTCACTTTCAGATCTTGATAGATTTTTATAAAATTTATTTGGAAGTTTTTAATCAACCTATCATATCTAGATCAAGTTCAAAATCCAGTGCTAATGGAAAATTTTATTGGTGTTGTACCTATTCAAATTATAAGAAAGTCCTCGAACAATATCAATTCTTGACAAAGTTTTATCAAAATTATATGAAATGATCATATATCAACAGTATATCAATAGAGTTTGAAAATAACCCAGTACCTATCAAAATATTTGTATTGGCTTTGGGAAATTATGTAAAACAAGATGGTTACACCACAACAAAATGTCACCCTAAAACTGTAAGATCATTAAGGTCAAGTATGCAGAGCACAGTCCAATAACTCCAACAGATATTGTCAAATCAAAAGATGATATAGTATGGTCAACTACACAAGATGACAAATAGTCCTACTAAGTGATGAGGCTTTCTGGCAAATGGTCCCAGAGGTGTTGCATCCACAAAGTGGTGTTGTGCGTTACAATAAAAATAAACGGAGAATGTGTCTATGGAACACAGATGATTAGTTAAGGTCTTTTACCCAGTTGTCCTTGTGTTACAATAATAAAAAAAAAATGGTAGAAGACAAATAATTCACACAGTGTAAATTCATTGACGATAAAGTATGGTCCACAACATATAATGACACATAATTCTACCAAACATGGTAGCTTAATCATAAAAAAAAATTCTGTCAAAGTTTCATTTAATTCTATGAAGGTTTGACAAAGTAATTGATGTGTAACAAACTTAACCCCAGACTGTATCTATTTGTTAACTTAAAATAATTAAGTTCATTTATCAGAAAAATACGGAAAAATGAAAAATAAAATATTTTCAAATTTTTTTCTGGATGCTGTAATTTCATAAAATTCCAAGTAGGTTTGACAATGTTATTGATGACTGAAAAACTCCAACCTTAATCTGAACTTAACTAAAAAAACACTTCAAGTCTATCGGTAAAATATGGAAAAATAAAAAATAAACATTTTAAAAATTTTCCATGGGATACTGTCTTTTGATCATTAACAAGTTTCTGTCCAAATTTTATAAAATTCCATGAAGGTTCGACAAAAGTGTTGATGTCTAAAAAAACTTTAACCACAGACAACCTAAATGTTGATGATGCCAAAGAATCTAGGAATTCCTATGTCTTGCTTTTGCGACATAAATGTTGCAGGCTCTACAAAAACATTAATTGCTTACCTATATATTTTCTGTCTTCCTGTGACAGTTTTGTGAAGAAGTAACAAGTCAAGTCTGGATTTTTTCTGTCAAGTGAGCTGAATATAAACTGTATTCTCCCACCTATAAAATATTATACTGATGTACTTTCCCTGAAGAATTAAACACAATCTATAGTTATATGGTTATTATGTTCACATTCATATAAACATAAAATTGAGGAGAATACATGGCTATTTTTTTAAGATTCGTTTTTGACATATAATTCCTAAAATTTATGCAAACCTGGCTTTCAAAAGTTAAGGTTTGAGTATTTCTGATGAAAGTAAACACAGAAATATGCTTTGGAAGCACAAAATTTATGAAAATGACAAAATAGTTGTTTTAATGCATTCTTAGTGTTATTTTCATATGGTTATGGATGTTTGCGGAAATTGCTTTTGATTTTTGTCAGATATTTGGAATCCTTTGGTTCTATCAAAGTAGTGCCACTAAAAATTTTGCCCGCTAACCCTAAATTTTATTACATATAGTATAAAAGGCAATTTATGAAATTTTTATAAAATCCTTGTTATTTTTACATAGTTTTTATGTTACAATGCTTCTTTTTTATCCAGCTATATTGATTTTTTTCTTGTGTTCCTTGATATATATTTTTCTATGAACAAGTTTTTAACGGAATTAACCTGGTGTCTTTTTCATCTGCATATCCAGACTTTCTGTATAAATATCTGCCTGTGACTGTAAATCTGCTTGTTCTTGGTCCAAGTCTGTTGATGTGGTTTTCAGAGCTGCAATATTAATACACATGCATAGACATTTAAGCAGCACACCAATTTTAAGGTACTTATCTGTTATCTATATTTAACAATTTTTGGGAGTGACCCTCAGTGAGAATATTTTGCTTTCTAGTCTCAGCGAGATCTATTATTATGATCAATTTTGGAACAGCCCTAAGTTTGGCCATAACAATAAAGGATCAAGTCTGTTATTGAAGGGGTGCAATTGGTTCATGAAGGAATACCTACATTGAACCTGCAGATAAACTTTATTGCTGAAACTACAGATTTAATCATCGCATCACATCATTATTTTTATTAGTCTACCTTCTTGGTTGTAATGAATGGTTTGTTGTGCTTGTTGTATTTCCATAGAAACTGTTTCTTTATAATTTTCAACTTTAGCCTTTTCTTTGCATAACTGTTCCAATTCTTGTTTAAGGAAGGCTAGCTTAGTAGTTTTCTCTTGTAGTGCTGAAATAAAAATCATCTACATATACTGGTCAATTTAAGCAAAGCAAAATTAAGGTATGCCTTAAAATAACTAATTTGTATTGTCATTCAAAAACAGGGCAAATAAAATATGATGTTTTACGTTACTATTGGTACTCGTATGTAAACAAATTAGGGATTATCTAGCGCTCTACCATCTGAAATATTAGGCACATTGTAGCTTCTCTCTGTCTACAACTTTTTCTCACAGGCAAGACAAAAAGCTGTTGATTTTTTAAAATATATATCTATATATAAAAATGCTATTAATTGTTTTAATATATATCTATATACAAAAGTCATGAGACAACTTACCTTTTTCATTAAAACAAGTGTTTTTTCTCAGGGTTTCTATACTTTCTTGATGCTGTAGTAAAGTATCTAAAAATATATAATATACATACATGTACATAAGTAAAATGTATATATTGTTTAAAATATGTTTTATAGGTGGAAACAGCACATTTATTTCTTTAGTACCAGGCCAAAAATAAATTTGTTTGATGTTGCCTACCTACCCACCTAAAAAGCAGCCTACCCAAAAAAATTTATGACCCAAATTGTTTCAAATTTGTTTTAAAAGTTTTTTCCCGCTCTAATGTCATTTTCTTATACAGAACATGTAACTTAATCTGTTGGCAAAAAAATAAAAGAACAGAGTTCCAATGTCCCCTGCGTTGCACATATTTTATATTTCCAAGGGGCATAACTCTTTTAAAAAAAAGTCGATCGTCCACCATTATAGAACTTGTCTGAGATATTGCTGATATTAACCTATAGTATAAGTTTTATAATAAACTGTTAACACAGAGATATGTCTCGCCTATTTGTTATTTTGATAATGGAAATGTTGAAATTAAAATAGCAATACTTTTAACATGTAAGTTATGCAAATATTCAAAGTCAATGAACCATGACTAAAGGTACAGGGCTAAACAATCTCCATGGAAATGAGATGTGCCAATGCTAATACAACTGCAAACCAAATACCATTGACTTTTCATAAGTCGTTCCCTTTAAACAAACCTAAACACAAACATTTACTTGTAAACTATGTAAAAGTTTCAAAGTCAATGAACCGGACAGGGTTATATAATCTCCATGGAAATGAAACATGCAAATGCCTATACATTTGCATACCGAATATCATTGACTTAACATTAGTGGTTCATCTTAAACTGACCTAATCACAAACTTATACATGTAAACTAAGAAAAAGTTTCAAAGTCAATAGACCATGACTGACAGGTAAGGAACAAATGTTCTCTATGGAAATGAGATGTGCTAATGCTTATACAACTGCATACCAAATATCATTGACCTACCACTAACAGTTCCCCTTAAACAGACCTAATCACAAACTAATACATGAAAACTAAGCAAAAGTTTCAAAGTCAATAGACCATGAATGAGTGGGCGGGGCCAAATAATCTCCATGGAAATGAGATATGCCAATGCTTATACTACAACTGCATACCAAATATCATTGACCTACCACTAGTGGTTCCCCATAAACTGACTTAATCACAAATTAATACATGTAAACTAAGCAAAGTTTCAAAGTCAATAGACCTTGACTGAGGGGGCAGGGCCAAATAATCTCCATGGTTATGAGATGTGCCAATGCTAATACAACTGCATACCAAATATCAATGACCTACCACTAGTGGTTCACCATGAAGTAGAACTAGTCACAAACTAATACATTGTTGACGCCGTCGCCGATGCCGGAAACAGCATACCTATGTCTTGCTTTTTGACTCCGTCAAGGCAAGACAAAAATGTGGCAAGAATTGTACCTGTGAGAGCGCTAAAGAGGCCATTTTCCATAAATTGAATATTTCCAAGGGGCATAACTCTTTTAAAATAACTCGATCGGCCAATGCTTATACTTCAACTGCATACCAAATATCATTGACCTACCACTAGTGGTTCCCCATAAACTGACTTAATCACAAACTTATACATGTAAACTAAGCAAAGTTTCAAAGTCAATAGACCTTGACTGAGGGGGAGGGGCCAAATAATCTTCATGGTAATGAGATGTGCCAATGCTAATACAACTGCATACCAAATATCAATGACCTACCACTAGTGGTTCACCATGAAGTAGAACTAATCACAAACTAATACATTGTTGACGCCGTCGCCGATGCCAAAAACAGCATACCTATGTCTTGCTTTTTGACTCCGTCAAGGCAAGACAAAAATGTGGCAAGAATTGTACCTGTGAGAGCGCTAAAGAGGCCATTTTCCATAAATTGAATATTTCCAAGGGGCATAACTCTTTTAAAATAACTCGATCGGCCACCATGATAAAACTTGTCCGAGATATTGCTGATATTAACCTATTGTATAAGTTTTATAAAAATTTGGGAAGAATCGACCTGTGAGAGCGCAAACGAGGCCATTTTCCATAAATTTCATATTTCCAAGGGAATAACCCTTTTAAAAAAAGTCAATGAGCCACCATGATAGAACTTGTCCGAGATATTGCTGATATTAACCCATAGTATAAGTTTTTTAAAAATCTGGAAAGAATTGTGCCCGTGAGAGCGCTAACAAGACGGGTAGGTATCATCAAACAAGGAATTTTGTAAGGATGGCCCCATACGCATTCTGAAAGGATAGAATTGTAAAATATTTATGAGAGATTTAAAGTTTTTAAAGTTTTATTTGGTAGTAAAAAATCCCAGAGCCTAATATATTATATAGAAATAAGAAGATGTGGTATGAGTGCCAATGAGACAACTCTCCATCCAAGTCACAATGTGTAAAAAATAAACAATTATAGGTCAAAGTACGGCCTTCAACTTGTTTTGATATTAAAAAACCTGTCTACCAAGATAAGTAGCAGACCTAAAAATCAATTTCAATTTGGTGAGACCTAATTAATGAATCATTTAAGGTATAAAATATTAATAAATACCAAAAAAAAATAAAAAGAATTCAATATTTCATAAATACAAAATCTTGCATAAACTTCTGTTTGCTTTCAATATATAAATGGGTTGCCTATTAAATATGAAAAATAAGATGTGCATGGAATGAATGCCAATGAGACAACAATGTACCAGAGAATAAAGGACGAAGATGTAAATATAAGTTTCACCTTTATATTTGGTGCAGTTTGCTCTGTGAAGTTTTGCCTGTCTGCTCCTTAACTGCTCATACTGATCTATTGTCCAGTCTGTGATAAACTTCTCCCTAGTCTGAGCCAAATTTATCTTCAAAGAATTCAGCTCTTCTGCAAGTGACATTGTTCAAGTTCTGAAAAAGTAGATCGATATGTTGAAATAACTAGAGGCTCTAAAGAGCCTGTGTCGCTCACCTTGGTCTATGTGCATATTAAACAAAGGACACAGATGGATTCATGACAAAATTGTGTTTTGGTGATGGTGATGTGTTTGTAGATCTTACTTTACTGAACATTCTTGCTCCTTACTACTATCTCTATCTATAATGAACTTGGCCCGGTAATTACAGTGGAAAATACTTTGTAAAAATTTACAAAAATTTACAAAATTTATGAAAATTGTAAAAAATTGACTATAAAGGGCAATAACTCCTTAAGGGGTCAATTGACAATTTTGGTCATGTTGCCTTATTTGTAGATCTAACTTTGCTGTACATTATTGCTGTTTACAGTTTATCTCTATCTATAATAATATTCAAGATAATAACCAAAAGCTGCAAAATTTTCTTAAAATTACCAATTCAGGGGCAGCAACCCAACAACGTGTTGCCTGATTGGTCTGAAAATTTCAGGGCAGATAGATCTTGACCTAATGAACAATTTTATCCTCATCAGATTTGCTCTAAATGCTTTGGTTTCAGAGATATGAGCCAAAAACTGCATTTTACCCTATGTACTATTTTTTAGCCATGTCGGCCATCTTGGTTCGCGAGCGGGGTCATTGGACACATTTTTTTAACTAGATACCCTAATGATGATTGTGGACAAGTTTGGTTAAATTTGTCTTAGTAGTTTCAGAGGAGAAGATTTTTGTAAAAAATTACAAAAATTTACGAAAAATGGTTAAAAATTGACTATAAAGGGCAATAACTCCTTAAGGGGTCAACTGACCATTTTGGTCATGTTGACTTATTTGTAGATCTTACTTTGCTGAACATTATTGCTGTTTACAGATTATCTCTATCTATAATAATATTCAAGATAATAACCAAAAACGGCAAAATTTCCTTAAAATTACCAATTCAGGGGCAGCAACCCAACAACGGGTTGCCTGATTGGTCTGAAAATTTCAGGGCAGATAGATCTTGACCTAATGAACAATTTTATCCTCATCAGATTTGCTCTAAATGCTTTGGTTTCAGAGATATGAGCCAAAAACTCCATTTTACCCTATGTACTATTTTTTAGCCATGTCGGCCATCTTGGTTCGCGGGCGGGGTCATCGGACACATTTTTTAAACTAGATACCCTAATGATGATTGTGGACAATATTGGTTAAATTTGTTTTAGTAGTTTCAGAGGAGAAGATTTTTGTAAAAGATTACAAAAATTTACGAAAAATGGTTAAAAATTGACTATAAAGGGCAATAACTCCTTAAGGGGTCAACTGACCATTTTGGTCATGTTGACTTATTTGTAGATCTTACTTTGCTGAACATTATTGCTGTTTACAGTTTATCTCTATCTATAATAATATTCAAGATAATAACCAAAAACGGCAAAATTTCCTTAAAATTACCAATTCAGGGACAGCAACCCAACAACGGGTTGCCTGATTGGTCTGAAAATTTCAGGGCAGATAGATCTTGACCTGATAAAGAATTTTACCCCATGTCAGATTTCAGGTCAGGTGAGCTAAAAAAAGACAGCAGCAACCACTGAAATCTGTTTATGTGAAAATTTCTAAACAGGTATAAATTCATTTGAAAATTTGTTTTCTACTTTGATTTCCAATCTATGAGCTTGCAAGTATTAAATTATTTTTTTTTCATTTCTATGAATATCTTAATCCTTCCCTTAGTTACGTCAGACAGTAAAATGCACTTTGACTTAAACTTCCTGAATATTTTCCATCATTATCACTCAATTCCAAACAGCAATAGATTCCTTTAAACCTTTAGGGTTTTTTTAATTTAAAAATACTCCATCAAATCTCACTGAGGGAATTCGAAAGATATAGATTTAGTAGTGAATTATGATAAAAAAGACAAAATTATTGCAATGCAAGGTCAATTTTACTCACATTTTTAATTCAAACTTCAGAAATGCGGTTTTCATGATTTGTATGCACAATATGGTGAGCGCAATTATGCAACAGGTATATAACCCTCTATAACTATGTCCACCATATTGTTTTACAAGTAACTTGTGTACTACATAAAAATCCTATTTCTGAAGTTGAAATTAATTAAAACTGACCTGCATTGCAATAATATTGTCTTTCTATCAAAATTTAATTTTAAAAAATTGTTTTCGGGAAGTAAGAACTTATTTTCAGGTTTTGAGTTTGTTTTCAACTGTTTTCCTGTTATCTAGGTACCACTAGTATGTTCTGAATGTTCCACCAACCCTTGTCAGAATCTAAACTTGGACCTTCAGCACTTTAGCCATTGGTCTTAACTACTAGAACATGACGGTCCATGTCAGGACAATTGCTGTCAGGCCAGTAACATTTCCCTAAAAAAAGGCATCACAAGCCATGTAAAAGCCACTTTAAAGGGGCATTTGCTACAAATTCGACAAAAAAATAAAATGTCTTTTTTTTTGTTTCAAACATCTATATGAATGGAATAAAGAAATACTATTTTGCTATTAGCATTAACTTTGGTTCAATTTCAACAAAAATTGCTATAAAACATTTTTGGTGTATTATTGACTTGCAATCAATAATTCCACTCATTTGGATCCCTATTCATGCAACCTTTTAATTTGACCTGTAGAGGAGATGGGTGCACGTGTGTTCATCATTCATTAGAAAGAAAAGAATGTCAACATTGAAAAGTGAAACTAGAGAGCCACCAGGAATAACCAATTTGTTGACTGATTCGGCCCACAGAAAAATTCTTATACAGGTAAAACAATGAATTACATATATTTCTAACCTATAACATGAAATCAAACAGACCTAGAAAAATCCAATTGCACATGCTCGCTAGCTATTTGTATTTATGTTTATATCAGGTTATATGACTGTTGGCAGTCTTCGGAGGCCATCTTGATGGATAATAAGATGGCATCTGGTCTAAAATATGAACAAAATGCGAATACATTATAGCAAGCCCTAGCTGCGGAAACCGTAGGTCTCAAGTCCTTATGATATTTTTTGACAATTTGCTGAAATATCATAAGGACTTAACACTCTTGCTGCTGGAGGAACACATATGTCCATATGTCTAATTATGCAAGCTTCTAATCATTGCTATATCTCTTAAAACTAAAATACTGAAGATTAAACCATGTAATAATTTTCTTCAATAGGTCCCCAATGTAAAGTCATATATAGAATGACGTCATTGTTGGGCATGTGACATCACAAATTTCCAGCTGTCATATTTGCTGGCACAGGAAATGCAACTATATAAAATTAGCTGCAGTAAGACATATAAGAGGGTTAAGAGCTACAGTTTCGCAGCTAAACATGCTAAATGCATTGATAATTTTCTTTTGGACTTATTTTAATTTGGATATTCGATTTAGTATGTTATAAATAAAATGAGAATTTTGGTCAAATTGGTGAATTTGACAGCTAATGCCCCTTTAACCCTCTTGCTGCACTACTTTTAATATGGATGCATTTCATGTGCCAGAAAATACGGCAGATTGACATCTGTGACATCACATGCCCAACAACCACATCATTTGATATATGACCTCATGACCTAATGACATAAGTTTCTAAATGCAGACTAAATTTATATTCATATTTATACTTAAGGTGCCAAATCTGTTTAAATTTGACTCCAGAATAGTTTAAATATTTAAATCATTTGATTATGCTAAAATATGTCCTACTAGTGCTTTCATTTTATATCACTTTTAATATTCTGCAGTATATTTTTTAGACCCATGAGATTAATTAATATATTTGCTTATTACAAACTGGTGCTTATTAGTTTTTAGCTTTGCTAATTTATGTTTTATTTCTGCTATTATTGCTTTGATTGGCATGTGTATGTGTTACGATGCAATCCGGTAAATCTGCCCCCTTAAGGCTTTGATCATATGTAGTTCTGCTTAATTATATACAAATTGTATTAAATTTAATATAAATCGATTCACTGACAAATCAATTTTGAGTAGTTTATCTCATTTCCCAAAAAATATCTGAAATAAATTTTAAAAATCAACAAAACAAGTGGGTCATCAGAATTTTTATCGGAAATGTGTTTGTCCGGTAAATCCGCCCATGTGCAGTAAATATGTATGGAGGGCCAGTTTATCACAAATTTATGAAAGGAAAAGGTGATCATTAATAAACCACTTATGAAGGGATTCAAGATGATCAAAAAAAAATTTAAGTCAGAAATGAGTTTTGTAAGCAATAATATGATTATCGTTAGCTTTATGAACTGTATTATATATATCACTAGATATTTTCATAATAAAGGATTTTTCTTTAAAATTTGACATGCAGTGATGATAAGTACAGTTCCTATGAATAAAATAGCAGAAGAAATAATTACGGAATAGATAATTACAGAGGTAAATGCGAGTGGTCGGGTTTACCGGACGGGCGGAATTACCGGACACTACTGTATATCTGTGTTTTTGCATGTTTGTCTGATGTTATTAGTTATATTTTTACTTTTAGTATGTCGGTTTTAAAATCTCTAAATAAAGAGCTTATGTTTTACTGTATAATTTGTATGCTTTTACCGATTTTAAATAAATATTTTCAATTTGATTACCATTTACATTAATAAACCAATGCAGAAGAATATTACACTGTTTAATCATCGATATTTTATTTCTACTTCTACTTCTACCAATACGCGGCCACCATCAATAAGTTGATTATTTTGACACTTTTTGGATGCACATTTAAAATTTAGACAAAAAACAAAACAAAAAAAAATATTGAATTGATTTGAATTGTGCTATACATCATATATACAGTGAAATTAAAAACATCTTGGTGTTGATCTAGTTCATCTCATGCAGGTAAGTCTTGAAGCATTCCAGACTACCTGCATGGGTGGCAGTATGTGGTAGGGCATTCCAGTCTCGTATCGTCCTTGGGTAAAAAGATTCCTTCAGCACTTTGGTCCTACAAGATGGTCTTGGTATCCATTAGTGTTGATGTTTCTGGATAGCCTATCTGGTGAAATGAGAGTATTACTAGTGTCAACTTTCACCATCCCGTTGGCAAGTTTATACATCATTGTGATCCTTGATGTTCTCCTACGGTCTACGAGGGTTTTCCATTCTACAGGTTGGGCTCAAGTCAGGAAAAGTGGGGTATTCCCTGTTTTCAGGGACCATCCCAGTTTTCTGGTGTTAAAAAGCCCCAGTTTACAGGGACTTCCTTTTTCTATTTCAATTCATGGCATGAAATTTACAAAAGCGCATGTTTTAACTGTATCAGTAGTATTTGTAAATACTTTAAGTATCTCAGGAACAACAAAACGTGAATAAGTGAAGCCTTGTTTTTTTCTAGAACTCAAAAACATACAAATCTTTTGTTTAGGAATCAGTTGATCAAGCTGCATGCTCCAGGTGTAACTGATCATAACTGAATTATGTTCACTTCTATTGAAATTTTCTATTCATTGAATTTAAATGCCTAAGTGATTAACTTATCTTTTTGTCTTCTCATAATTGATGATCAAGGTATGAATTGGTGAACAAAGGAATTGTTTTGTTGTGAGTTGAGCATCAAATAAGACTTGAAATTAGCTTGATTTTTGAACTTATAAAAACACTTGCTATCATATAACATTGTTATCACATGTAGAAGGTGCACTTTTGTAGATTTCATACCATAAATTGACAAGAAAAAAGAAGTCCCTGTTTACTGGGTTTTTTTAACACCAGAAAACTGAGGTGTTCCCTGAAAACAGGGAATACCCCAGTTTTCCTGACTTGAGCCCAACCTGTTCTAGTGGGTTAAGCATGTCACTAACAGATGATGTGTTATGATATCTGTTAGTGACATATCTGGCTGCTCTTCTCTGTACCATTTCCAGTCGTTTTTTGTTGTTTTGTTGATACGGATCCCAGACTGTACATGCATATTCTAGAGTCGGTCTTACAAACGATTTGTATGCAGTTCCTTTTATTGTGTTGTTATTGATGTTCAAGTTACTTTAGAGGAAGCCTATGGTCCTGTTTGCCTTGACACATATGAATGAGAATAAGATAGTGATGGACAGATGCTTTCATTCATTTAACTTATGGACATATGACATGTGGCCCAGCAAATTACCAGAGTGATCGAAAATACAGAGAGATTATAGTGTCAAGTTGACACTTCTAAAGACTAAAGACTAACAAGAGGGTAAAAATAAATTTTAAGACAGAATGTCGGGCTTGTAGTGAACACTAGGGGGTTAAAATCCAGTCGCACGTCAGAACCTAAATTTGTATTTTATAGACCGTGTGATTACTATGTAATTGAACAGCTAAAGTATATTGAAATTAGATTCATATCACTTGTGATTACCTGCGTATTTTGTTTATTTTGAAAGTCCCGCAATATCATTAACCAATCAAATATCTCGTAACAAGCTTCACTTTTAACGTCGAATAAAACTAAAACCCGACAAGTCAAAATTCAACATTAGGCAATAACGTAAACATGTATCTATTATATAGGCTTTCATGAACGAAGTCCTTCTATGAAGATTCATATCTAAAGTTATAAATTCTTTTATGGTGGATCATCGGTATAGATTTCCTCAGATAGAATTTTCTTATATTTTGCCAAAATGTAGATTTTACCATGCTTTTTTCAAATATATCATATCAGAAGTTCGAGATCATTACTAATAGTGGACTTTTGATCATATCGAAGTTATGACTATAAATGTACCAAAAAATATTTTTAATATAAAATTTTCAATGTATTCGAATTCAAAAGGTAAAATTCAATTTTCAAATGGTCTTAGCCCATCATTTGAATCAAATATGGCGTTAAGCAAGGAGATATATTGAATCCTCTTCTTTTCAATTTTTTTTTATAAATGACATACTTAAAGACTTATATATATTAATATCAATGCAGATCCAGTTGTAGTTGGTGATGTTTCATTAAACGCTCTGTTGTATTATTATCAGATAGCAAAGAGGGTTTGCAAAATTGTCTCAATGCATTAAGTAGTTATTGTTCCTCTTTGAAATTACAAGTAAATACAGAGAAATCAAAAGTAATGGTTTTCAATTCAAATAGAAAGTCCATTATTAACGAATTTTATTTTAATGACAAAACTTAGAGACAGTCAGTAATTATTGTTGCTTGGGTATTAAATTCATGTTCACCGATTTGACTCAAATTCTCATATTTGATTTATAACAATGTAAAACATTTATCCAAATTATAAAAAGTATAAAATAAACAATATACCGGACATGGGCTCGAAAATATGTAGCTTCGTTTCGTGTATATTTTAGTCTAGACGCCATCTAATTAACTGTCGAGTTGACCTCCGAATACCTCCGATTGCCATATAAGGGATATAAACATAAATATAGATATAAATAGATATCAAACTCGTGCATTTGGATTTGTATAGGTCTGTTTAATTTCATATTATAGATTAAAAATATGTGTTAATCATCGTTTTTACCTGTATAAGAATGATTTTTTTTGTGGATCGAATCAGTCAATGAAATGATTTACCTTTGTTTCACTTTCAATGTTGACATTCTTTTCCTTTAATAATTGAACACGAACAATGCATGCGGTGTCCATCTCTAGCTAAGGGGTTAAATTGAACACATGAATACGGATTCAATGAGGTCGAATTATTCACTTGCAATAATTCATCATCAATGTTTCTTAACTTATTTTGACAAATTGAACCAGACTGACTGCTAAAAGCGATATATCATTTCACTATTTCACTTTCATTAATGATTGAACAAAAAAAATCATATTTTAGATTTTTTATATATCTTGTAGCTAGTGCCCCTTTAATCATAGAAACAAAACTTTCAATGCATTTTACTGAATTTAAAATGTCAAACTTTAAAGCCATATTTTTTTTCCGGCGAAAATGTGATTGTAAAAGTAACCTTAAAAAACGGACTTTTATATTCAAAGTGCTGCATTTACTAAGTTCATTCGGAAATTTATGATTTTATTAACTTCTCTGTGTTTGAAAAAAAACACCAAAGGTAAAGGCAAATGCAAGAGTTGACATTGATCCTTTAAAGTTGACTATATACGGTATAGGTTTTTCTCATTGTCGAAGGCCGTCCACAAACCTATAATCATTTAAACTCTGGTGGGTAGTTTGATACTACACCTCCTCATTTTGCCATGGACGTATATTTGATTATAGATTTTATATGTTAGTTATATATCCTTGATTCTGCTATTCTATAGATATAAGAAGATGTTGTATGAGTGTCAATGAGACAACTCTCCATCCAAGTCAAAATTTATAAAAGTAAACCATTATAGGTCAAAGTACGGTCTTCAACACGTATGTATACTATGCGTTTTTTTATGTTGCATGCCACAAGCTCTCGTCTCTGATTTTTGATTTGCTTAATATCCAGTCGCGAATATTTCTTGTATATTCAGAGCGATTTTCAAATTTTTTTCAAAACTTCTGATAATTGAAGAAATTATATGAATAACTGATTGATTGATTGCTGTTTTAGGCCACTTACAGCAATGTTGGCTATTTTGTGACGATCAAATTTTATTGGTGGAGGAAGTCGGAGTGCCCGGAATGAACCACCAATCTTCGGCAGTAAAAATGACAATCCTAGTCAATTAAGATTGGAGTCGAATGCGTCTGCCACGTGCGGAATTCGCACTCAAAACCTCAGTGTTGACAGACTAGTGATACAGTAGTTGAACTACTATAAGACCACTCGGCCGCCGAGGCCCCTTAAAGAAGAAATTATATAAATAAAACAAATCAAAATTCAAGTTTGTTAGCTAAAAGAAATGCATGCTTTCAATTTTTCGAAGACGTTAAGACCCCTTTTAATTTTCATTTCTTAGACAATCATTTATATTGTACGTAATATTTTATTTATTTCATAATGAAAATTTTAATAATTATAATAAAATAAAGCTAACGTTTCCTAGTTATAAACATGATAAAGCCATGTATCGAGTTTGCAAGGGAACTAAGTCTGATGTGTTTAAATATATATATATTTGTTGTGAACAAATTGTAATGTTGTACAAATTATAATTTGTTCAGAATGTTTGTACAAGTTATCAGTGTTTTATGAATCGCTTAACTCAATTGGATGATACAAGCACACAGTCTTTTGTTTCGCATATTTCTGTCATATTTCCATGACTACATATGATACAGTCTAATACTGAGCATTGATACAAAAAACATTATAAGAACACAAAAGACTTTTTTATGAATAGGATTTTGGTATAAGGAGAAAAATAAAAATAGAATTTAAACCATTAAGGTGTCCTTATTTCTAGTTTTAGGACAAGGAGAATAAAACTAAAGGTTAGGTTGAAGTATATAAATTTGAATTTAAGACATTAAGGTAGATAGAGTGTCTTCCTCCATCTTGGATTTTGAAATACCAGAAAACAATCGGTCTAGATCTTTAATAGAAGGTGCGAATTTTGAGAGTAGTAAGTAATTCATGTGTAAGAATTTTCATTTCAATATAGAAAATGACCTATTTTATCATATTTATGGTTGTACTTTATAAAAAAAAAAGAATACTTTTGTTTGATTCTATTTTTTCCAACTTTGCCACATAAGGGGAGGCAACTCAAATGTAAGGGCAGATAATTCAGATAAAGTTACTTTTACAATAGAATGTGTTAGGAATTTACCTATTTTATTATGTAGCAAGAAAACGGGTCACGTGACCCCATTTTTTTCTTTTTCTTATCTGAAAGCATACTAGTAGAGCTATCTTCTCATATTTTATCTCAATATTCTATGGTGTAGTTTTCGTTTTATGGCAGAAAATTGGGTTTTCCATGCATAATCTATACAAAATCTGTCAATTTTGCACAACCTGTAGCGTGAAAATAAGCCCCGTGACCCATTCTTTTTATTATTATTTTTTAAAAAGCATGATATAAACTACATTTTAGCAAATTATTAAAAAATTCTATGGATTATAATTTAGACACCGCATCTACCTTAAGGTGATAAATTTTAGAAGATACACTTTTATCATCTGGTGCAAAAAGGTATGTGTCAAAAAAATTATAACTTGTACAAAAACCCTGTACAAATTATAATTTGTACAAACTTGCATCTTGTACACAACATATATATACATTTATATATAAACAAACCTTTCGTATGTGTATTACAGATGACCACTAACTGGTGGTGTTTAACGAACTTGACTGGCTGGTAAGCCCTCGCTCGGTCGGAAACAGATGACCACGAATAATGTATCTACGTAATAAACGACCTGCGAAATTAAGGTCCGTTGTCTTACTACATTTTAATGTTATGATACACAAGTTTTTAGATACATCTTATAACCCCTAAACTGGTGACGAAATTAACAAAACAAAGAAATTGTGTCATTGCATTGAACAGCTAAACAGCATACACACGACAAGTTGGCACATAAGGTTCAATAATCTGATAATGGAACAAGACGTTTTGACTACATTGAAGATTTTAATCATCGGAGAAAGTGGAGTGGGAAAATCAAGGTCTGATATGATTCGACAGTCATAGTGGTTTTTAACTGTTTACAATATATCAGTCATAAGGATATCTAAAGTTTCTCTCTCTTTCTCTCTCTCTCTCTCAAAAAGTTTATATTCCACACCAGAAGGGTTAGCAAAAAATCCGGCTGTTAGGGTAGGAACATACATATAGATATACTGTTCCCAGGTTAAGGGTACTGGCACTACTGCTCACCCAAGTGCGAATACTGGGGAAAAACCTTGTTTTACCATCTCTACTTGGCAGTAGAGGACATTAAGCAAAATTCTGGCCTGAATATTAAAGGTTTATCAGAAGGAATGGAGAAAATATGTATGTATTTACATGTACACCACAAAATCTTAACGTAGATTAGTACAGACAAACCTGTGCACAGGGAAAAGTTTTAAAGCCAGGCAGGTACTGGGTTAATAAAATTGAAATGCAAGGTCCCATATCCTTAGTGGAAATGATCAAATCAAAATGGCGGTACAATTTTGTCAACTAAACATAATGGCAAACAATCCTACCAAGTATGAGAGCTCTCTGTAAAACAGATCAAGAGGAGTTGCATTCACAAGGCGTCACTGTTACAATACACTAATCTGGAGTTGTTAATTTTTAAAGAGTTAAAACATTACAATGGTTGACCCGAGGTGAATCAACATAAATGACATCATCAAACAATCGGTTCTTATTGTGATGTAATAACATAAGCATTGTGACATAGGAATTTAACTGGAAAGTGCACAAACTAAAAACTAGTCAAATTCCCATTACTCCAACGAAAGTTTCATATAACTTTTGAAGAAGAGAAAAAAAAATGAAATACTGTTACTGTTGCTTGACAGTAAGTGTTGCTCTCAACCTATTGTAGTTAATTTGAAATTCTGACCCAATTGCAATTTATTTTATCATACCAAACTGTTAAACTGGTCTGAAATTTTAACCAACTGCTGTAGAAAACCAGACCAGTCATCAAAGTGCAAGGTGATAAAATAAAGCATACTTACAATCCTATAAGACTGTAACTCCACTTCATTGTTAAAATTATTCCCCCATCAAGCAAAATTTTTTTACAAGTCTAGAATTGATAGTTAAGTCTGCCAAAAGAACCATGAAAATGTCAATTGGCCATGGCCAGTGTCTGCCTGTATTGACCACTTGAGGAGTATTGACAGGGGAGATAAATACCAGTAAATACCATTGGTTATTTACCACCCAACCATCCATATAGAAGGTAAACAAAAATTAATGCATGTGGATGTGGAAACCAATTACAAAAATTGGTGATTTTGAATTATTTTATGATTGTATTTCAGTCATGAATTCTGACACGACATAACATTTTCTTTTCGGACCTGAAGGAATATCGACTACAGAAAGAAAAATAAAGATTGCAAACTTGCAAATATCAAGAGGATGGGAAAGATGTTTATCCCTACCCAAATCATGCAATATAGAGGAAGATAGTGCTGACTGCATTCTCTGTTGTGTTAATATTACCGTTGTCTCTTGAGGCCTTTATGATTTCAGAAGGCACATGAACACAGATTTGCATATAAAGCAGTGAAGGGCAAAATGTCCTAAAAGACACAAACAAATTTTTAATAAGTCTGAGTTTAAATACTGTTAAAAAAAAAAAAATTTTGATTTGACATTGGTGCCAGTGAAAATCAAGATTTTGCAAAAGAGGGCCGAAAGATACCAGAGGGACAGTCAAACTCATAGATGGAAAATAAACTGACAACACCATGGCTAAAAAATAAAAAGACAAACAGACAAATAATAGTACACAAGACACAACATAGAAAACTGAAGACTAAGCAACATGAACCCCACCAAAAACTGGGTGTGCTCCGGAAGGGTAAGCAGATCCTGCTCCACATGTGGCACCGGTCATGTTGCTCATGTTATTACAAATCAGGTAAATAGTCTAATTCGGTAGGTCACATTCGTGGTGAAAAAAGAAGTGTATTGTAATTACGACATAAGGAACATATCCGATATCGTCTGTGAAACAGTTATTCCATAACGGTCAACCAACTTGTGATGGCGTCCGTTAAATTTACGAAGGGATGATTTCAACTTCACCATTTGGAACTCTTGGTTTAATAGCTTCCTTGTGAGCAGCAACCCTCTATCAAGGAAATCATGATAGGAAATACAAGCCCGGGAATATCGTATCAATTGGGAGATATATACTCTGTATGCAGGCGCTGCTGGAATGTTGCTACATAGAAATGGAAAGTTCACAATTGGGAAGCTGAAATCATCTCTTTTGTCGTAAAATTTTGTTTTCAACCGACCCTCATTGTCAATTTCTAGATGTAAGTCAAGATATGAGGCAGACTTAACTGTATCTGTTGTATCCTTTATCTCTAGTTCGATGGGAAAGATGCGTTCGACATAGTCACCAAATTTTGAATTATTTAGTGAGAGAACATCATCTATATATAGCGAAAAGTAAAGTTAAAGGATATTGCTTACTTCTTATCTTTCTTCCTAAGAAGTTCCTGTATGAAGTCAGCCTCATAATAATAAAGAAACAAGTCGGCAAGAAGAGGGGCACAATTGGTTCCCATTGGAATGCCGACAGTTTGTTGAAAAACACGTCCTCCAAACGTAACAAATATGTTGTCAATCAAGAAATCAAGCATCTTGATAATGTCAGTTTCAGAGAATTTTATGTTTGAATCAGAGTGATTCTTTACAAAATAGGATTTATCCCTCCCAAGACAAGATACTTGTATCTACGTTCGCCATTCTTTTTTATGAAACAAAGCAATACCAACTCTTTCAATTTGTCTTTTAGTTTGGAATGGGGAATACTTGTGTAAAGTTTAGAAAAGTTAAACGTTTTAATACTATTGCAAGATGAGAGAGTCTTAGATTGTATGTACTCTAAAAGATCTTTGGAATTTTTTAGTATCCACATCTGTAAGCTACATACATCAGAAAATACACTAAAAAGCTAAAGGTGGGTGTAGGAATTAAAATGAGGAATTTATATGGCCAAATGATATTGATTTATAAGTGCAGGTTAGGCATGTACATGTAAGCAGAAATGAGGATTTGAAAATAATCAGGATACTTTGAGAATGTTTTTAATGATTTTATGTGCTAAAAATACAAATGTTCATCTGTTTGAAGAAATTTTATTAAATTTATATAAGCAAAAAGTCAGGCAAGTAATTGTTTTTTTTAGATTTCAGTTCAAAGTTTAACCAGTCCCTGTCCCCTTTCTGATTTTTGGTGAACCATCTGTTCCTATTGAGTAAGATTTAAACACAGACAGTCTTCTTGGAACTTTTTCTATATACATGTACCTATATATGTATACATATTTTCACTCAACAAATGTCATGAATGTAGTACTTAATGATAATGGTCAGTGATTTTTTTAATTTTTAGTTTGTTGTTGCGTTTTACGGATGATACATTTGACCCTGAACAAGCAGCAACTATAGGTAAGAATTAAGTTGACAATAGACAATATAACACACATTTCACATTTTAAAAATTTGATTCTTTTATAGCCCTGAAAATAAAATAAAAAAATGATGTTTGCCTTATAGAATTAGTGGGGTAATGTTTTCCATCTATGTTTTTTTCTTCAACTAAACATTTGTTGTAGATAAACATAATAAATGTGATTGATAAAGTACCAATCAAAATGTTAATGAAAGTTATGGCCCTTGAATAATGAATTATTAGAAAATTGCCTTAGGGTATATATATGATTTAGTAAGCACTCTCTGATCAACCCTTGTAAAGTGCTCATAGATTTTTGTGATTTCTCAAATCAAGTTTTTAAAGCCAGCTGTGCTTATTAATATATAATATAACTGTTACTGCCATATGAATATGATGAAATATAAATAATTTAAATCTGTGTAATAAGCACTCTTATCCGTACAATTATTGATGAATTCTGATGAAATAAATATGCAAAGTTTATGATAACAATATCTTATAGGGACTAAGTGTTTGTAGTTAAAAGCTGATTGAAAATTTAAATGGAGTCATGCATTTTCAATGAAAATTTGATCATTTGAAGAATTGATGTGTAAAAAAAGAGGCAGAAGAAACCAAAGGAGATCAAAACTCACATGTCAAAGGGAGAATCAAAACTCACATGTCAAAGGGAGAATCAAAACTAACATGTCAAAGAAAAGTCACATGTCAAAGGGAGAATCAAAACTCACATGTCAAAGGGAGAATCAAAACTAACATGTCAAAGAAAACTCACATGTCAAAGGGAGATCAAAACTAACATGTCAGAGAAAACTCACATGTCAAAGGGAGATCAAAACTAACATGTCAGAGAAACTCACATGTCAAAGGGAGATCAAAACTAACATGGTCAAAGAAAACTCACATGTCAAAGGGAGATCAAAACTAACATGTCAGAGAAAAAACTCAGATGTCAAAGGGTGATCAAAACTCACATGTCAAAGAAAGACTAACAAAATCATGGAAAAAACAATAAGAAAATATTAGACAATGAACAGTCTACAGAACATGAACATAAAAGTCTTAAGACTGAGCCACACGAACCCCAGCAAAACCAGGGGTGATCTCAAGTGCCCAAGAAGGGTAAGCAAATCCTGCTCCACATGTGGCACCAGTCCTGTTGCTCAAAGTTAAGTTGTACAAACTCATGTAGTATGCTCATGCTAACAATATGATTATTTCATTGATTGTTGGTGTTTGATGAGAATACTGACAAACTTAAGACACTAAAGCTTACCAATGTTCCCTGCAAAGCAGTTTTGACAAAAAGAAGAAAAAATACATCTGAAATCTTGTCTTCTATCATAGGTGTTGATTTTAAAGTGAAGACACTGCAGGTAGAAGGAAACAGAGCTAAACTTGCCATCTGGGTAAATAAAAACTTATATTTGACTTTTATTTGCCCTTTCTCTGCCTGTGATGATTGTTAGTGAAGTTGTATGTACACTATTTATCATCCTAATTACAAAGAAGAAGTTATACATGTACAAAGTTTTATATGTATAAATGGTACATGATGTACAGTACAAATGTTTTTTTTATATAAAGTGTCTTTTGCTGATGGTTGTTTAAAATGAATGCTGATTATATTTAGTTGATTGAAGCATAATTTTTGTTATGTATAACTCTTTGTAATACAAATACAAAAATAGGTTGTAACGCAATATGATATATCTACAATTTAACAGTAATCAATCTGTTTCTCTGTCATATGCTGTATGAAAGAACATGTTTTACCCTGCTAATTCCAATTGGTTCTATTAGTTGTGTCATGATGAGCAAGTTGATAAATAGACACAGATTTAACTATTTAGTTAGTATTCAGACCTCCACTAAATAAACAGAGGAAGTAATAATGATCATGGATATTGTAACTATTGTTTGTATTGGACTTTTATTTCAATAGCTAAAATTACCATTATTAAAAACTCTTCATTAATTCAAAATTTAGGACACAGCAGGACAAGAAAGATTCAGGACCCTCACACCAAGTTACTACAGAGGAGCCCAAGGGGTTATTCTTGGTAAGTACACTAAGATACAATGTACTGATGAGGTTTTCATAGAAAAATACATTATGTTCACATTGAATTTTGGATGACCTATACATTTACAGAATTGTTTTTTGGATATAAATTTTTCTATCAAAATTGTACTTATCTACATCTTTTTGTTAATATGGGACATATAAGTTCAACAATTATGCAGCATGCAGAGTCCATTATTATTAATCCAATACATCTATGTTTATATCTGTTTTAGTGTATGATGTAAGTAGTCGACAGTCCTTTAGTAAACTTGAAACCTGGTTAAGTGAATTGGAAACATTTTCTACAAAACATGACATCATAAAAATGCTGGTTGGAAATAAAATTGATATGGTAAGTCATTAAAAAATTGAAAACAACACGTTTAATAATTTCATGCGTCCGAAGCGCTTTTCTGGATTTACCTTCATCAGGAACGCTTGAAGAGCTATATGGCAAAAATACCTAAAACAAATAGCCAAATCCATCTAAGGTCAACTTTGCCTGAGGGAGTTGAAACCTTTCAAAATTTATAAACGGGCAATTTTAGAAAAGTTTGTTATTAATCATGTCAGTACCGAAGTACTGACTACTGAGCTGATGATACCCTTGGGGACTGATAGTCCACCAGCAGAGGTATCGACCCAGTGATGTAAAAAACTGAAAACAACACGTTTTATAATTTCATGCGTCCGAAGCGCTTTTCCGGATTTACCTTTATCAGGAACGCTCAAAGCCAAATATTTGAAATCTGAGGGATGTATAAGTACCGAAACAGTTGAAGAGCTTTAACTTTGATCTGTGGAATGTTTTTTTCCAAGTTTATTGCACCTTTAACTTATGTATATATATAAATTATAAAATGATAATAAGACAACAACACCCATCAATTACCGCATGGCAAGATTTTATTCTGGTTGACATGTCTTGCCATCAAGCGTGGCATCTTCAGAACAATATAACATATGAATAAACTCTTACCATGTGGTAATTGACGGGTGGTGTTGTCTTTATTATCGTTTTATTTACTTATCTAGTGAAAGACAACTGTGAATACCTTTCGGTATCAACCTACTATTACCCAACCGCACTATTACCACTTCAGGTGTTGGTTCACCATATATAAATTGTATGACTACAACTTTTTTATAGAATTTGTGACGAAAAATTTCAAACATTTGTACAATTTAATACTATTACTTATGAATTTATGTTAATATTATTTTAGAAATTTTCACTGGATTATAACCTTTATGTCACATTTCGTCGCACATTTCTCCAATACTTCCGAACACAGAATTACTTTATATTTGGTGAGCTGCTCAATAGTGATTTATAATGAGTTATAAGTGTTGTGCCCTGTTTTTGGATCTGTCAGACATATAATTACTGTTCACTGATACTTTGAATTAGGAGTGGTGGTATGCTAAACACGACAGTGTGTTTGCTTTCTGGTTATTTTACAGTATTAGGTAAGACCCTTGTATAAGATTACTATGAGATAATAGCTAAGATATTTAGTACTAGGTATAATACAATAATTGTAAAATTAAATTACATTACAATTGTAAACTATAAGTTTTGTTAATGATAATTAATAAGATATTAAGCTAAAAAATTTGATTTTTCATGGATATTAGATATAATTATTAAATTTTAGGATAAAAGAGAAGTGAGTAAAGAGGATGGATTAAAGTTTGCCAGAAAACACCATATGTTGTTCATCGAGGCCAGTGCCAAAACTAAAGAAGGTGTACAATGTGCATTCGAAGAATTGGTAGAGAAGGTGAGAATAAGTTTTTTGTCTTTGTGTATCCATTAGTACATATTTAAAAAAAATTGGAAATTTTAAAGGGAAAATCAAGGCATTTTTTGTCAGCAGCTTGGCAATGGTGGGTTGTAATGTATGAGTGCTTTTCCAGAACATTCAGACATATACAACCTGTTTGCCAATACTTTAATATGAGTTGGGGTATGTTTAGCAAAACAATACATGCAATTATTGTTGATATTTGCTGCTTTTCAACTAAACAAGCAGCATTTAGGAGTTTGTTCAAAGACTTGTTTGCTCAAAGTTGGAATAAGGTATCGGGCTAGGGTGACAATTTTACCTTCAGACTATTACATTAAGAGCTGACAGGTCCAAATCAGCTTGTCCGTCTAGTACACAGCAGAGAACATTCATGTGACATTTATGTATTATCGTCCTGAATATGAATGTAATATTTGCTGCTTAACAATAAGCAGCTTTCAGTCAATCATGTAACAGTTATGCTTCTTTCTTTTTTCAGATTATACAGACGCCCGGACTCTGGGAAACAGACAGAAGAGGATTGCAATTAGAACGAGATGGAAACACACAACAAGCAGCATGTGGAGGTTACTGCTCTGTGATATGAACTTCAACAGTATGCTGTTATTAAAACCTTTGGTTGTCATGATGAATATTTTTTAAAAAATCTCAAGGTGCTTTCATATTTATAAAAGATCGATTATGTTTGGTTGATGTTAAAGTGTTACAATGTATTTATAGTTATTTCTATATAAGATTATGTATCAAACCTGATATATGTGTGTCAAAAATGTGATACACAACAAATCTTATTTTTAGTTACCGGTAACAAAAGAGAAAAATTTCAGATATCAATTTAAAAAATTTAAAAAAACAAGTGTAGATAATAAATACTGGTATATGTCAACTAATATGAAGCATCATAAATGTCATAGGATATTCAAAACCATAAATCTTTTATGAATGTTTATATTACACAATGGTGTTTCAATGCTAAAAGTGAAGAGAGAAAAGTCACTGAAATTATAAAGAATGACAAATCATTTGAATAAAGAAATACGTAATTTTTCACATAAACTTTAAATAGTGAGTGTTCTACAATCGTTTAACTTGGCATTAAAATGCATATAAGGGATCATTACAGCCTTCTTACCAAAAGCAGGTGACTTTGCAATACATTTTATATTGATTTACTTAAACTATGTTTTATTTAAAAAGCCATTATAGGATACTAAATGACCTATAATAATATAGTTAGGTGTAAAGAAGCTCACAACAAGGTAACTGTTTCCTTCGTTTAATGCTTCCTATATCTTATTTATGATTTGCATCAAGTTTTCAGTTTAGGAATCCCAGTTATGGTCAATCATGTAATTTAGAGTAGCTTTAAACAACAATAGCTCAATTCTGACCTACATTTAATCCTAATTTAACTTATGGGCATCACTAATTAGTCTTTTGTAGCTGAAATGCACATCTTGCATACTAAGTTATAAGCCTGATATCTTTGATGAATATATACTTTTGTTTATTTGAAGTTATTTTTTTTTACTTATGTATTTCCAATCATGTAAACTGGTGGTACTTAAAAGATCTAATACTAAGATTTAAGCTAAAAACCCAGTCATGGAGACATAAAGAACCACAAACTGAAATTATGCAGTACACCAATAAGTTTAAATTACTACTTTGGATTCAAAGAGGCAGTTGTGAGAACCCAATGATTTTTTAACTATGTTTTTTTATTGGTTATATCTTTTTATGGTTCTCAAATGTTTTTTTTTTAAATTATTACAATGGGTGATAGCATCGAGCAAATTGTTTTAATTTTAGTTTATTTTGACTGAAAACAATTTTTTGAATTCAGTATACTTGTATATAGAAATCTGAAAACAATTTTTTGAATTCAGTATACTTGTATATAGAAATCTGAAAACAATTTTTTGAATTCAGTATACTTGTATATAGAAATCTGAAAACAATTTTTTGAATTCAGTATACTTGTATATAGAAATAAGGTAATACATATACATTGGATTTCCTGCATACACATGAAATAATTGCCACTATATATCAATTAATCATAGTTGTACGTTTAAATTTATATGGGGGATGAAGTAATAACTGTCAGACTCTAATTTATGGAAGAAATATAAATGAATTTAAGACCAAATTAATATGTATTTCAGGTATTTAGAACCCCCATCTCCTTTCCCATATAACTGTAAGTGGATTAGTCTTTCTATATTAAAATGGGTTTTTAATTATTGTTATGCTGAATGTAATTTATTTGTTGATTTTTTTAATATAATATTTACAAGCATAGCATAATATTTATGCACATGAGATATCCTGATAGTTATGTAGTTCTTTTGTTTATAATCCTCTTGTTAGTGATGGGTTTTTATTATGCATTTAAAATACTGTAAATTCAGAAATTATTGCCAGGCTTTTTATTTATGCCACTGAATGAGTATCCCAATAATAAGAGCTGGCATTCTGATAACTGTAGGCAGAATTTCTTGAAATCGCAATTATTAATCTCCCATTTTTGCCCTTTCTTCAAAAATCACAGTAATGCACACAATATTTTCTGAATTTACAGTAACACTTATCATTGATTTTAATTTGTTGATTGTGTATATCATTGTATATATTTTATTTTAAATGTTATGTGCATATATATGAATTAAGATTGTATTTGTAAAGTTTGATTGCTGTATTTGTAAGTTAGAGTGCATATTTTAGACCCCATAGAGTGAACCTTTAACCATTAAATGAGGTTCAGAAATAAATACCTGTATTGAAATTCACAAAATACAATACTTATTTTATTTATTATTGACCACAAGCCGACAGAACATCCAAATATGTGACCTAAAATTTATCCATGGAAAAATCTTTGCAACAAGAGCAAATTTAACATGCACACTAATACATTTATTATGATGTTAGGTAATAATCCTGTTTGGTACATTTAAATGATTTTAAAAATTCGGACCGGTAATATATTTTGTCAATTTTATCATACATATCATGAAAACAATGAGAGATCAAAAGATACTGGCTCTTTAATGCATTCTAGTCTAAGTCTAAGATCTGTTTGTTAGGATAAATTAGGGAACATTTTCTCCTCATATTACTTGGAATAGCATTGAAAAGTTACCTAGACTCATTGTCGAAAATTTGATGATGTAATAATTGATTGCTAAATACATTGTTATAGGCGCTTAAATTTTCCAAAATATTACTGGAATAGTTGCAGGCAACTGTCAGTGATATTGGTAACAAAGTAGTGGCAAAACTAGACAAAAAAATGATAGCCAGAGCCAAGTTTGGATTCTGAATGGCCAATTGAAAAAACATTCTGAAAGAATGAGGCGAAATGCTTTGAAACTTCAGGGGATTAATCACAGCTATCTTTTCAAAGCTTATTTTATAAAAAATTATCCTTTGAGCAATCAAGGAGCCTCCAGTTGTGTTGTTATTACAGGAATTTAGGAATATTCTTTCACAAAGTATGAAATTATGGTTCAGTGTTTATGTTATGTAAAGCAACAGAAAAATAGGTATTTACTGTAAATTCAGAAATTATTGCGAGGTTTTTATTAATGGAAATAATGTGACTGGATGAGAATTGCAATAATAACGAACACGCATTCTGATAATCTTTATGCTTTTCCTGAAATTGCTACAATTCATTTCGCTTTTTTGTTCAGTTTTCAAAAATCGCAATTATAAATGCACACAATAATTTCTGAATTTACAGTACTTGAAAATGAGCAAACTTTTTATTTGTATGATAATGCATTTTCTTATGAATTTATTTAAATCTAATGAGTGGTGAAGAATTGCTTTATCTATTAGTATGTATACAGAATCATAATAAGAAGGAAAAATTAAAATTTCGAAACTGCTGTGTGTGTGTTATGTCATTTAATTTTTCATAGAGGAGGACAGTTTCTTTATCACCAAAGTTGATTCTATAACAGGGGAAGTAACTGATTGGAAAATTTTTATCACAACTTAAGGATTTCCTTTTAAAATCTGCATAATAAGCAAAAAATTTAATTATGGAACAAAGAAAGTTTAAAAAAGTTCCACATTATAATGGTATTTTTGTGATTTTGATATCTGTTGAAGAGCATGATTATTTCTTTAAAAAAACCAAAAATAACAAATGTTACCATGTTGCTTACACAATTTGTATACAGCCTTATATTCCAGAAGGTAAAAGATCTGAATGCTTCTTACCTTGTATACAGATGCCTTATGTAACGAAGTTTCTGTGTGCCATATGTCGATTGTCAGTTACCCCATTTTCATGGTTCAGCTGCTGTTTACAAAAACTATAATTTTTTGTCAACTGAATTTCTCCTAATGAGTAATCAGAACTATATTTGGTACATGTGATCCTTGCAAGGTCTTACATGTCTGTTATACAGGATTCACCTGACCTTGACCTCATTTCATGGATCGGTTTTGAAGGTTAAAGTTTTGAGGTCAAGTCCATTTATCAGATACTAGTAGACCTTTTCAACAATTGTCTAGACCTACTGCTAACAGGGTTCATCTGACCTTGACATCATTTTCATGGTTCATTGTTCAATGGTTAAGTTTTCAAGGTTAGGTCAGCTATATTTGATGTATGAAATAATTGTATGGTGTACACTTGCAGGATTATTCTGACCCTAGCCTCATTTTCATGGTTAATTGTCCTAGTTTATTATTTTGTAGTAGGCCAACTATATGTGGTGTATGGAATGATTATAATGTGTACATTTCGGTCTGGCAGGTTTCATTTCACCTTGATCTCATTTTCACAGTTCATTGGTAATGTTTAGTTTTTTTGTAGCAAGTCTGTTTCTCAGACAACATATGCAATAGGTCAACTATATTTGGTGTATGTAATGATTATAAGGTAAACATGTCTGTCTGACACTGTTCATCTGACCATGACAACATTTTCATGGTTCATTGTTAGTCCCCTACCGACGAAGTCGAAGGGGACTTTAGGTTTGCACTCTGTCCGTCTGTCCGTCCGTCTGTCCATCCGTCAGTCCGGTGACTCAGTTTTCCACACTTTTTTTCTTCGTTCTTGAAGATATTGATTTGATATTTGATATATAGTTTTATAATGACAAGTTATAGATCAAGTTCAAATTTTGTTCCGGTCTGATGATTTAGTCCAGAGTTATAGTCCATAAAAAAAATCCATAACTAATGTTAAGAGTACTATGTTAAACCATAAATCTGTACAAAGGGAGATAACTCATTTTTTAAAAGACATTCTTTGGTAAATTGTTTGAGGAATTTTGTGGCAGATTTATATGTTATTTTGTATAAACTAATTTTCTGAATGCTACATGTATATATATATATATATTTTTTTTTTATTAAGTGAAATCCTTAATTTAGATAATAATCTATTTTTATTTAAGTATATATTTCATTACATTACATTGTGTAGATAAAAGTTGTTGACATTTTATAGATAAGTTACAAATCTATATTAGTTTGTGACAAATGAAAGAAAAAAATATTTGGAACTATTAATTATATTTGATTGTAATTTGAAAATAGATATACATTGTATTACATCATATCTAATGTTAGAGTGTTATAGGTTTTCCACACTTTTTTTCATCATGCTTGAAGATATTGATTGACAATTGGTATATAGTGTTATCATGACAAGTTACAGATCAAGTTCAAATTTTTGTTTCAGTCTGATAATTTTGTGCAGAGTTATGGTCCTTGGACTTGAAAAAATTCTCTCATATATTCAGTTTTCCACACTGTTTTTAGTCATGCTTGAAGATATTGACTTGATATTTTCTATTTGTTTACACCATGACAAGTTATAGAATAAGTTAGCATTTTGTTCCAGTATAATGAATTTTTAACCAGTAGGGGACCATGCAATACTCTCAGAATGCTTGTTCAATGTTAAATTGCAAGGTTAGGTCTGTTTCTCAGATACTTCAAGCAAAAGGTCAATTATATTTGATGTAGATGATTGTATGGTGTACATATCTGTCTGACAGGATTCTCTTGACCTTGACCTCATTTTTTATGGTTCAATGGTAATTTTTTAGGTTTAAGTGGTAATGTCTGTTTCCCAGATACTATATAACAATAGGTTAACTTTGGTTGGTGTATGGAATGATTGTAATGTGTAAGTCATCTGGCAACATTCATTTGACCATGACCTCATTTACATAGATCATTTATAATCTTTTTGTAATACTTGTAGTGAAACCTTTATCTGAAAAAAATTATAAAATAAATTTAGTGACTGCTTGAAAAAACAAGAGTCTTTAAAGACCCTGTGTCACTTGCCTTTACTTCAACAATGGCCAATTTGGTAAAAATCATCCTGAAAGGGCAATCACTCTATAAAGAGTTAACTTACAATTTCAGTTGTGTTGACATATTTGTAGATCTTGTCCTGCTGATAATTTTTACTTTTAAAGTTTCTATCTACATTTGTAATTTTTTTGCATCTATTATACTTTTCAAGATAATGGGCAAAAACTTAAAAAAATGATGAGTAATTTTTAAAGGGCAAGAACTCCAATTACTAGTCAGCAATATGGTTTATTTGCAGATCTTGTCTTACTGACAATTTTTGCTATTTAAAGTTTCTAGCCATCTATTATAATTTTAAAGATTATAGGGAAAAAACTAAAAATGGGGAAAAACATCATTAATGGGCAATACCTTCAATGCGTAGTCGACTGACGATTTCGGTCATGTTGATTTATTTTTCGATCATATCTTGTTGATCATTTTGCTGTTCAAAGTTTCTATCTATCTTTTATAGTTTTTGAAATATTAGGCAAAAATGAAAATAAAAATGGTAAAAATCGTCATTAGAGAGCAATAACTCCAATAAGGAGTCGTCTGAAGATTTCAGCCATGTTGACTTATTTGTGGATCTTGTCTTGCTGATCAATTTTTCGCCTTATAGATTCTATTCATTGTTTTCAAAATAACCCTCAACAAGAGGCTGTCAGAGTGACAGCAAACCGGATTTTCCTGCAGAGGTTGAACCCTGAACAGTTGAGCAAGTATGGACACTACATTTAAGCTTAAAACAGCTCTGAATTTGGATTGTGATTGAATATTTGACACAGCATAGGTTTGTGACACAAAATGAATGTGGTCAAAGAACTGAAATATTTGAAATTGGACATTCAGCATTTCAAAGAACCCCATAAATTCAATTTTTGTTGAATCAAACAAAGTTTAATTTTGGACCCTGATTTGGACCAACTTGAAAACTGGGCCCAAAAATCTAATATTTAAATACAGGTTTAGATTCAGCATTTGAAAGTACCCTATATATATTTAATTTATGTTGAAATGAAACCACAGGTTACTTTTATCCATAAATTTTTCTATGCAAAGGGAAATAACTCAAACTGGATAAATAGTTCTCTAAAATAAGATATGATGCAATTTTTATACGACCGCAAAAAAATTTTTGTGGTGGTATATTGGTATGACGTTGACGTCGTCGTCGTCGTCGTCGTCTGGCGTCGTCCGACGTCATCCGAAGACACATTGGTTTTCGCACTCTAACTTTAGTTTAAGTGAATGGATCTCTATGAAATTTTACCACAAGGTTCAATACCACAAAAGGAAGGTTGGGATTGATTTTGGGGGTTTTGGTACCAACAGTCAAGGAATTAGGGGCCAAAAAGGGGCCAAAAATAAGCATTTTTGTAACTTCCAGACATAACTTGTGTGTTAGTGTATGGATCTCTCTGACATTGTACCACAAGGTTCCATATCACAAAAGGAATGCTGGGATTGATTTTGGGGGTAATTGCCTCAAAATTTTAGGAATTAGGGGCCAAAAAAGGGGCAAAAAAAACAAGCATTTTTCTAGTTTCATGACAATAACTTGTGTGCAAGTGTATGGATCTTTCTGAAATTGTACTACAAGGTTCCATATCACAAAGGGAAAGCTGGAATTGAATTTGGGGGTAATTGCCGAAACATTTAGGAATTGGGGGCCAAAAAGGGACCAAAAATAAGCATTTTTCTAGTTTCCAGACAATAACTTGTGTTCAAGTGTATGGATCTCTCTGAAATTGTACTGCAAGGTACCATACCACAAAGGGAAGGCTGGGATTGATGATGGGGGTAATTGCCTCAATATTTTAGGAATTAGGGGCCAAAAAGGGGCAAAAAACAAGCATTTTTCTAGTTTCAGGACAATAACTTGTGTGTAAGTGTATGGATCTTTCTGAAATTGTACTATAAGGTTTCATATCACAAAGGGAAAGCTGGGTTTGAGTTTGGGGGTAATTGCCCTAAACGTTTAGGAATTTGGGGCCAAAAAGGGGCCAAAAAACACATTTTTCTAGTTTCCAGACAATAAATTGTGTTCAAGTGTATGGATCTCTCTGAAATTGTACTGCAAGGTACCATACCACAAAGGGAAGGCTGGGAATTAATTTGGGGGTTGTGAATCATAAGGGGGTTCAAAAAATTTGGGGGGGGGGATTTTTATTTATTCCTTTTTTTTCTTTTTTTCCTTTTTTTTTTCTTTTAAAATTTTCCATTTTAAGTTGGTTATTTCTGATTTATATTTAAAAGTAAATAATAATGATATGGTAGGAGATACACACCAAACAGGATGTGTAAATTATTATATAATAAGTATTGTGCAATAGCAAGAAATTTTCAATTGCACAGTATTGCACAATAGCAAGAAATCTTCAATTGCACAGTATTGCGCAATAGCAAGAAATCTTCAATTGCACAGTATTGCGCAATAGCAAGAAATATCCAATACACAATATTGCGCAATAGCAAGAAATTGTCAATTGTACAGTATTGCGCAATAGCAAGAAATATTTAATTGCACAGTATTGTGCAAAAGAAGATACTTCGTATAAATTGC